AGAATACATCCCCCCAAAAATGGTTTCGAAAGTCGGTGGCTGGATGAAACTGGAAATTTACCTATATATATATATATCTATATATCTATATCTATCTATCTATCTATCTATCTATCTATATATATATATATATATATATATATATATAACGAGCACAAGGGATGTAAAGTTAGAATGACCCAAAAAATCGTCTAGAAACCACCCAGCGTATACCTCACTTGGTCTTTATGCGTATGTATTACTTATGTATATCTCAATTTTTGTCTTTAGCTATGTAAGATTGAAGTACTTAATTATTTCATAAAAAGATGATATTTCATATTATTATTTTTGCGTAAAGTTCTATATATTTCTGTATTATATTTTTCTAAGATAAGGAAATTGTAAAATATGATAGTTTACCCTACAAAATATAATTTTTTATTTTGTTATCTCCCACCATACATTCTCTTTATTTAAATGGTACACTGTTATATTTCAATGGTAGTATTATATTAAGGTTGTATAATTGATATTTTAATAAAGAAAACGATATGTGTTATTCTTGTTATTGGAAAGATTCATTTATGTTCTGGAATTTATACATGTATATATTAAGAAGAATTATATATTTGTACATTAAATTTCAAAGTATATACAGTGCTAAATCCTGACACAATAGCTATAATCATAGAGAGAGAGAGAGATCAGAGAGGAGTGCCATACAACAGCCTAAAAGTGTATTAGATTATCGTGAAATATCCGAGCTCGAGGCTGGCACATGGCTCTTGAACATATTATTAGGAATTTAAAACCCATTCAAAGAGTGTTATTAACATTTATAATTGTATAATATTAACTACTCAGACCGTATATTATGACAAATATTATTTAATTTGTTTGTTTGTAAGGAATCTTTTTGTTCTTTCACGAAATGATTTACTTATATTTGATAACTTTATATTGTTTTATCATTCCTAAACTAGAATAATTGTTTCTTTTCTAGGAATGTTTTCTTTCTGGTTTGGTTCTGCTGAAGTTTTGGTTTATTCGCCCCTGGTGCTGTGAACAAGAATGAAAGAAAATACCATCTTTGGGAGCCCAGGAAACTGATGAAAAGGAAAGAAGATACCTGAGAAGAACAACTAGTGTGAAGAGTGACAGGTTGGAATATAATTACTAGGACATTTTGGTAGATGAATGTTTATTTTAGTATAGAAGTGTAATGATTTATGACTATATATCAACCAAAATTGTAAGCTCATTTAGTGTTTTGATATTACCCTTCTCTCAGTTACTTCTAAGGCTGAAGTTAGATCATAAGTAACCTGTATGAATATTTCTCTTTTATAGTGTGGGTTCTAAAGAAAGTTTTTGGAGAAACCACACATTGGTAATAACAGGTAGTGCCCCTCTGGATAAAGTCTGAGTGGTTTCCAGAGCAAAGAGAAGTAATCTATCTATTTATCTATCTATCTCTATATATATACACACACATATATAGGTATATGTATATATATACATATATATATTGTGGATATATGTATAGATAAAATATATAATTTAATTTAATTAATGCATATAGCGCACACAATGTATAGCAAGGCAATAAAGAGTATAGATGTGTCAACACAGTTACAAAACTTAAGCGAATGGCAGAAGAGCAAGTCACGAACTTGGCAAAACCCAATCTGATTCTACAGATTGCGATTTGCGAAGTTCTAGCTTCGCCCGGGCCTTCGGCTATGGCCCGGCCTGTGTCAGCTTTTTAGGGCTGGCTCATTTTATTCTGTGACACTCGGCGCTTACCGTGGCGGTGGGATTGCCAGCAGGCGCTCCTGCTGCCATGGTGTAAGCGAATCGCAAAGTCTCTTAGCACGGCGGCTATTGTCGGCGGTCCCTGTCTCAGGAATTGTGTGTGTGTGTTCACAATTCTCTAAGTAATGTACAAGTGTGGCGTTCGGCTCGCCGCGATGCATGCGACACCAGTACACTTCTCTCGAAGTAAATTACAGCTTGGCTTAATCATCAAGGGATTAGAGGGCATACCCCTGCCAAAGACGGCTAGACTGTCAGCAAACTCATTCCCTCTGATGCCAATATGGCTAGGGACCCAGTTAATAATGATTCTTCTACCCTGAGCCAGTATTCTTTGGGCTATTGTCAGTATTGTGGTCAGGAGATCAATAATGTCTTTGGGTGAGCTGTGCTGAAGACAGTCAATGGCTGCCAAAGAGTCAGTATGTATGACTACGTGTCCTTCCCTTAGGGACGCATGGGATAGGGCTCCCATTATCGCAACGGCCTCTGCCCGTAGCGAGGAGGCGTTGTCAGTTACTCTTATGGATTGAATGGCATCCCTGGCCGGCGCCTGCAGTGTGGTTCAAGGGATCGACTGATCCATCCGTGTAGTATGTTCTACTACCCAGAGGGGTGATGGCTGCAATGACCCTGTAGGTTTCTGCCTTTAGGCCAGGCGTGAGGTATTCACTCTTTTTCAGGCACTGTGCCCCGATGGAGGTGATAGCAAGATCGTCTGCATAGGAGATGATCTTGCACCCCACTGGGAGGTTTATGTTAAGGACACAGGACATTAATATGTTTAATAGGGTTGGACTGAGAACCCCACCCTGTGGTGTCCCATTTTTAAGTGGCATGTGCAGCGATAAGTGACCCTGGAATTTTACTCTAGCTGTTATGATCCTGAAGTAGTCACCTATCCAAGGCAAGAGCTTTCCTCTGATTCCCTTCTGGCTCAGGCTCTCCTGAATGGCAAGAGGACTTGCTAATTCGAAGGCCTTTTCCAGGTCAAGGAATACTACCACAGATGGGCTTGTGCAGATTGTGCTTATTCCCCTGGTGAACCCATGGAGGCCCCCCTAACAGAAGCCGCCTTGCCACGGTGGGGTCCTGGTGCACCAAGGCCTATGAGAGGGGATGGTGCACCCACCCCTGGTTTATTCTATCTTGGACCAGTAAGAACTCTCCCACGTGTGTCTGCTGTGCGTGGCGTTCTGTATTACCAGGAGACAGGAGTCCTGGAGGTTGACCGATGCTGCACACTGCGCCCTGCAGCTAGCAACACGCCTCTTTGGTCCTCTATTCTGGTCAGACGGGTGGCTTGATCAAGGCCCGGTCAAGTCAATCGGCTGGTCCCAATGATCTGGTGAGCCGGACCAGAGGGCTACCCATACTGGAGGGGTCACCAGTGAGGGATGAGACATGAGGGATGGTGCACCCACCCCAGGTTCATTCCATCTTGGACCAGGGAGAACTCTCCCACGTGTGTCTGCCGTGCGTGGCGTCCCATATTACCAGGAGACAGGAGTCCTGGAGGTTGAGCAATGCTGCACGCTGCGCCCTGCAGCTAGCAATACGCCTCTTTGGTCCTCTATTCTGGTCAGACGGCTTGAGGTCCGAATGATCTGGTGAGCCGGACCAGTGGGCTACCCATATTGGAGGGGTCACTAGTGAGGGATGAGACAAAATGGCTTCCTGGTGCACCAAGGCCTATGAGAGGGGATGGTGCACCCACCCCTGGTTTATTCTATCTTGGACCAGTAAGAACTCTCCCACGTGTGTCTGCTGTGCGTGGCGTCCTGTATTACCAGGAGACAGGAGTCCTGGAGGTTGACCGATGCTGCACACTGCGCCCTGCAGCTAGCAACACGCCTCTTTGGTCCTCTATTCTGGTCAGACGGGTGGCTTGATCAAGGCCCGGTCAAGTCAATCGGCTGGTCCCAATGATCTGGTGAGCCGGACCAGAGGGCTACCCATACTGGAGGGGTCACCAGTGAGGGATGAGACATGAGGGATGGTGCACCCACCCCAGGTTCATTCCATCTTGGACCAGGGAGAACTCTCCCACGTGTGTCTGCCGTGCGTGGCATCCCATATTACCAGGAGACAGGAGTCCTGGAGGTTGAGCAATGCTGCACGCTGCGCCCTGCAGCTAGCAATACGCCTCTTTGGTCCTCTATTCTGGTCAGACGGGTGGCTTGACCAAGGCCCGGTCAAGTCATTCGGCTGGTCAATATGGCTAGGGTCAAGCAGGCACTGTTCAGTCGGTAGTGCATGAGTCCTGCAACTACCATCAGCACTGTAATGGTGACTGCGTATATTTCCTCACTACCCCTGTGGCTTGAGCCCCAACTATAGCTTCCCCTCGTTGGACTCCATGAGGAAATGAAGATTTCTAATCTGTATGATTACTACAAATTTAAAAAGAACTTGCTCTCTCCCTGACGACATTCACAATCCTCTGGCCAATCCCTCTGGAACATCACATATTTTCACTCTGGAACCTTACTAGATTCCAAAGGGCAAAATTGGGAGTTGTAATGGTTCCCGAGCTCCCAAACCAGGTAAGAAGGAGAAAAGTCCTCCTCAATTCATTAAGGAAATCTTACTTGGTAAATACGAAAGTGTATCTTATAGTAAATACTTAGTGGTGAAGACTATTGATGGTGTATCTATCATGGATCTTGATATTACTGAAGTACATTGGAAGATAGTTGAGGTGCGCCAACGTGATCCTCGCATCACCCCACAGCGAGATGGTAGCCTGATAGTTGAGGTATCATCACCAGATGAGAGTGACCGTCTGCGTACAATATGTAACATTCCTGGGGCTCAAGTCTCATGTTCTCCTCACAAAAGCCTCAATCAGTGTAAGGGAATTGTCTTTTCTTGAGACCTGATGAGGTATTCTGAGGAGAAACTGTTAGAACAGTGATTCCCAACCGGTGTGCCGCGAGATCAGATAGGGGTGCCGCGAGATTCGCGATTCAAGGATATCAAGGGCAGAAGTGTTGGCTATAGGATGGAAAAATATATTCATATGAAACATTAGCCAACGGGTTAGGCTGAGGGCGATGGGTATGCGGGCATTGACTTTTGTATTCGCCTATGCCGTGTATGTGTGTGTGTATTTGACATTGATTGTGTAAACCTATTTCAATGTCTTTATGCTTTAGTTACTTTGGTTTTCATTTGCCTTTCAGAATTGAGCTAATGACACTATGGACAAGTTTATTGTAAAGAAACGTAAACTCCAGGACAGTGAAGGTGAGGTAGCAGCTTCAACTTCTGGGTCTAATTTGAACATTGAAGTTTCTCCCCGCCCGTCTAGTTCAAAAGATGACAAAAAAGACCAGGTTTCTTGTTCTAAGAAAAGGACATACTTAGATTGTTACTTATCGTATGGATTTTCCTGGAACAATAACGATGATAACCCTCGTCCAGTATGTGTAGTCTGTGGGGAAACACTGAGCAATGAGGCCATGGTACCCAGCAAGCTGAAGCGGCATCTTAGTACCAAACACCCTGGTGTGTCACAGAAAAGTTCATCTTATTTTTCACGTCTACTAGAGGGGCAGACAAAAGCATCTCATAAAATGATTAAAAGAGTCACCATAGCTGACACTGCACTTTGCAGAACTGATAGCTACAAAAATGAAGCCTCACACCACTGGAGAGGAGATTATTGGCCCTGCATGCAATATTATAGTTGAAACAATGCTTGGCCAAGAAGCTAAAGATCAGGTTTCAAAAGTTCCCCTCTCCAACAATACAATCAGTCGTAGGATATCTGAGATGTCGGTCAATATAAACGAAAAAGTCATTGAGAAAATTAAATGTAATAATAAATTTGCTTTACAGATAGATGAGAGTACGGACGTTACTGGAAAATGTCAGCTACTTGGATTTTGCAGGTTTATTGATGATAATGAGATTATTGAGCAATTTTTGTTTTGTAAAGAGTTGGAAACTACAACCACGGGCCAGGATATTTTCGCTAATGTTACATCCTATCTCACTGATCATGGCCTTTCATGGAAAGACTGTTGTGGTATATGTACTGACGGTGCACCATCAATGATAGGCAAATATAAAGGTTTCACCACAAAAGCATTGGAGAAAAATCCGTCCATGATAATAACTCACTGTTTTTTACATAGAGAAGCGTTAGTAGCGAAAACTTGCAGTGAAGAGTTGAATGAAGTATTGAGCCAGGTTATCAGAATGGTAAACTTCATCAAGGCTAGACCATTAAAGTGTAGACTTTTGAAAAAATATGTCTGGAAATGGGTGCAGATCATGTCTCACTATTATTACATACAGATGTAAGGTGGTTGTCTCGAGGACGTGTGCTAAACCGAGTTCTTGAACTCAAAGAACAATTAATTGCCTTCTTCACCAGTGAAAAACAGGACACATTTTATAAGCTGCTTCAAAATTATGATTGGTGCTAGAAACTTTCATACTTGACAGATATTTTTAACAAACTTAACGAACTTAATCTTTCCATGCAAGGACGACTAGAAACAATATTTTCGTCAACTAACAAAATGAAATGTTTCAGGCGCAAACTAAGTTCTTGGGAGTCTGCCGTTCAAAAGGGGGATATGGAAAACTTTCCCTCTCTTCTTCATCTCGCAAAAGATAATGAGTTAAGAATTCCGAAAACCCTCATTCTGAACCACTTGGTAACACTGCAAGATGCAGTGGATAAGTACTTTCCATCTCTTCCTACCAATAATCTTGATTGGATTGTATCACCATTTCAATTGGCAGATAATGCGGAGGAACTAGATTTCACAGCTAGTGAAAGAGACGAATTCATGGATCTGTGTGCTGATTCCACACTCAACGTTAAATTTGACAAGAGTCAGACATCAGTGGCTGTTTTCTGGCTTGGACTGGCGGATGAGTATCCTGACTTGGTGAAAAAAGCCACAAATCTACTTTTGCCCTTCTCCACTTCGTATTTGTGCGAACAAGCATTTTCAGCTATGGCAACAATAAAATCCAAAGCAAGAAAGACTCCTTAGTCTTGAGAGTGATATGCGTGTTGCACTGTCAGCTATTAGGCCTGACATCAAACGACTGTGTTCTAATCATCAATCACAAGTTTCGCATTAATCGTACAATTTATTATTCTTTGACAGTTGTGTTTGTATGCTCATTTTATTTCTCACAGGTGAAAGGTGTTCTTTTTAAACTGCGTTCATGTATTTGTATTACAGTTTTTCTAAAATCAGTAGTGTAGTACTGTAAAACGGGATGATTTTGATACAAGCTGGAAAACATGTTAATAAGCTGATGTCACCAGGAAACATCTTTTCCAGTTGGGTCAAAGTTACCCCTGGAGTCTAAAGTAAGTAAAATATGCTTAGTCTGAAGGGTGATATGTACATGTCAGCTATTAGGCTTGACTTCAACCGTGTGTTCTGATTGAATTCTAATAAAAAATTGAAAAATGTGTATACATATTGTTTTACTAGACTAGAGATTAAGTCATAAGGCCGTTAAGCAACTTCAATACAAAAGTGAAAACGATTCAAAAATTTCTAACAAGGGTGCTCCAAGATTCTGATCGCCCCCAAAGGGTGCCTCGAACCTAAAAATGTTGGGAATCCCTGTGTTAGAAGAACTGAAGAATTTTAATGTAGTAGCAGTAAAACGTTTTAAGAAGAAAGTTGATGGTTTGGAACAGTCGACACCAGCTCTTCTAACTTTTGAATCCTTAGTCCTTCCTGAATCGGTCAAGTTGGCATGGTACCACCTCAAGGTCAAGCCATATGTACCAAACCCTATGCGGTGTTTCCACTGCCAGGGTTATGGGCACGGAGCCAACTCTTGCCGTTTTAAGGAAAATGGACAACCAAGAGTGTGTGTGAAGTGTGGTACAACAGGTCATCAAGGAAATGACAGCTGTCCAGGTCCAATATGTTGTTACCACTGCAAAGAAGATCATGAAGCTTCTTCTAAGCAATGTAAAAGGTACAGATTTGAAAAAGAAGTATTGGTAATAAGGAGCAAGGAGAAAATTAGTTTTGCAGAAGCAAAGCGACGTGTCCGTGTGCTGTTTGCACAGCCGGGTAAGTCCTTTGCTTCGGTTCTAGCCCATCCTCCTTCCCGCCATCCCTTACCTTCCAATACTTCTAACACTACACACTCTGCCACTACTGTTACACATCAATCCTCACATGCTGAAACTGATTCTGGTGAGTTGGTCCACCAGAAACGAAGTAGGAGTGAAGGGTCTATTGAGGAGACTCCTCCTCCTAAAGTAAGGTCTTTGGAGCCATCAGGTAAGGCTCCAGAGGCCTCAACGGTGACAGCTTCAGCTGCCATCACATCCACAGGGGCCTCTACTGCTAGGCAGGATGCCCCTGAAGCAAAGGCTCAGGTAAGCCCTTTGCACAGGCAGAGGAATCCTGAGCCTGTTCAAAAGACTCCTCATAGAGTCGGGTCTTTGGAGCCACCAGGCAGGGCTCCAGAGGCCACCACATCCACAGGGGCCTCCGCTGCTAGACCGAATGCTCCTGAACCAAAGGCTCAGGCCCGTCCTTTGCCCAAGCAAAGAAATCCTGAGTCTGCCCAGGGAATTCATGCAAAATGGGAAGAATTGCAACATCTGATAGCTTCTTGTAATCCAGTTTGTGTATGTCTACAAGAGATTATGACCAGGGAAAATCGTCCAATTTCCCTGAGAAGATTCCAAGTTCAAGTTCATTATGGGACCTTTGATAATGGCCCTCATGGAGGAGATACAGTGATGGAACGTCAGGATATTCCCTTCCAGGTCATCTACCTGCAGACAACACTGCAGGTGAAGGCTGTGAGAATAGGCTTGACACGACCTTACACTATTGCATCCATCTACATCCCTCCGCATAATCCTAACATAGATGATTTGGAAGATCTACTTGGGCAGTTGCATCATCCATTTCTACTCTTGGGAGACTTCATCTCTGGGGAGCCACTTTGTGCAACCCTCGTGGAAGGGCCTTGGAGTCCTTGTTCTCAAGAGTAAATGCAGTTTTACTGAACAGTGACGCACCCACACATTTCCAAATTCAAGCAGGGACATTCTCCAATATTGACTTGTCAGTTGGTTCACCTGATTCACAATTGAATTTCACTTGGCAGGTCATGGAAGACTTACATGGAAGTGACCACTTTCCAATACTTTTGAAAGAGGTGAATGGTATTCCAGCCAATGGAGTGCAGAGATGGCGACTTGAACATGCAGACTGGAATCTTTTTAGATCAACTGCAGTATTGCAAGGATCTGTGAATGATTTCCAGTCTGTTCAAGATGCTGTTGATCACTTCACATCGCGGGTTCACCTTGCAGCAGAAGCATCAATTCCCAGAAGTAGTGGGCAGTACCGTCGACCATGGTGGTCTGATGAAGGCCAACAAGCTGTCAGAGCAAGAAAAGCTGCATTAAGGCAGTTGAAACAACACCCAAGCGATGTAACCTTGATCCAGTACAAAAAGACACGAGCCAAGGCCAGGAGACTGCTAAAGGAGGCTAGACGGACATCGTGGAGGCAGTATGTCTCCTTGATTAACTGTGGGACCCCTTTAGCATGGGGATGGGACAAGGTGCGTAAGATCGCCGGAAAGAGCACATCCATATCACCACCTGCTCTGAAAATAGATGGCATAATCCTCACAAACAAAACAGATGTTGCAAATGAGCTGGCGAAATCCATGGCAGAGATCTCATCTGGAGCCTCTTACACTGCCCGATTCTCCAGTCTTCAGGCTGAACAGGAACGACACCCAGTGTCGTTCTTCAATAGCACTGCAGCAGAACTTCCATTCAACTTGCCATTTTTGCGCAAGGAGATGGACTCTGCTTTGCAGCTCCGCCGTAAGACTGCCCCAGGAAGTGACGATATTCCATACCAAATGATATCTCACTGGAGAGCTCCCAAACGTTCCTATTGGATCTGTTCAATAGGATCTACAGGGAGGGAACAGTGCCATCCACATGGAAAGAAGCTATAATCATTACTGTCCCTAAACCTGGCAAGGATGCTTCCATACCAGGGAATTATAGACCAATTTCTCTCACCAGCTGTATCTGCAAGTTGATGGAGAAAATGGTAAACTTCAGGTTGACATGGCTACTAGAAAAAGAAAACGTGCTGACCCCATATCAATATGGGTTTAGAAAGTTGAGATCGACCACAGATGCACTTGTGAGGATGGAAACTGCTATACAGAATTCCTTTACACAGCGACGCCATATGATAGCAGTCTTCTTTGACCTTAAAAAAGGCTTATGATACGACTTGGAAGCATGGCATACTCATGAAGCTGTATGACATTGGTTTAAGAGGAGCATTGCCAACCTTCATACAAAGCTTCCTTGCTAACAGAAGTTTAGAGTGAGGGTGGGAAACAGCTTCTCTAACCTGGAAAATCAGCTGGAAGCAGTCCCACAAGGGAGCGTCTTAAGTGTGACCCTGTTTGCCATTGCTATCAATGACATGTAGTCTATATGTGGATGACTTTACACTGTACTGCTCAGGAGCAAGCTTACAGGATGTGCAAGGACACATGCAGACTGCAATAAATCAGGTTGTGAAATGGGCAACATACCATGGCTTCAAATTTTCTCCTAGCAAGACCATGGTTATGCATTTCCTCAAACGAGGAAGGTTTCACCCTTCCCTGTATTTAGGAGCAAACCCACTACATTTTGTCAACAGGTAAAGTACTTGAGTCTAATTTTTGACTCAAGGCCTAGTATATTGCGGGTTCTTTCCCAACTATTTTGGGGTGCAGACCGCACAACGCTTCTGCGACTTTACCGAGCACTTATTCATAGTAATTTGTACAGGGGCTTTCAGGTCTTCACCTGTAGAGTCCCTGTATGCTGAGAGTGGAGAACCACCTCTTTCATTACACCGGGACTATATGAACCTGATTTATTACACGAGACTACAAAGGATTCCGGGATCTCCTACATCCAGATTGGTTTTCAACCCTCTTGAATATAGCCGATCCTATGGTAGGAGAATGAGGAATCTTGGACTAATCAAGTCGAGCTTGATTTGGTCAGAATTGGGAAAGGGGAGAGATCCGAAGCAGAAGTCAGAGAGATATTTCTTCAACACACTTTTAAGTACCAGGGGTCATATGCAATATATACAGATGGTTCGAAATCTGAAAATGGTGTGGGCTTTGTAGCAGTGAGCAGAAGGAAGACTGCATCTGGCAGTCTTTCTCGATCAGCCTCGATTTTCACTGCAGTTACATGCCATCCTTGCAGCAGTCAAGATGAGTAGAGATCTTACAAACCGTTCTGTTGTAGTATATTGTGACTCACGTAATGCCTTGCAAGCAATCAAGAGCTTAAACTCATCACATCCAGTGGTGAGGGAAGTTCAAGATTGGCTTGCACTGATGTCAGCACGTAAAAGGATAACTCTGTGTTGGGTGCCAGCACATGTTGGTAGTAGTGGGAATGAGCGGGCTGATCAGAAGGCCAAGGCAGCTGCCGCTCAGCTTTGTGATGCTCGTTTTCCTCTCCCACACACCGATTTGAAACCCAGCATCAGAAGTTGTCTTCGTGATAAATGGAGGGAACAATGGAGGCATACCTCTAGAAATAAGCTACGAGAGATTAGAGATGACCTTGGCAGTTGGGTGACCAGCATCCATCCCAACCGAAAAATAGAAGTTGTATTAACAAGGCTGAGAATTGGGCACACAAGATGGCTAAAAGTGAAGCACGCTGTGAGGAATGCCAAGAGCCATTAACGGTCGCACATATAGTGGAAAAATGTGCAACATTCTCAGACCAAAGACGAAGGAACTTGTCTTCCCCATATACATTGAAAAATGTTTTGGGGGAGGATTGTGACATAGAAAGTCTTATTAGTTTCCATAGGGAAACTAATATTTTCAATGAAATTTAATCATGCATAATGTTTATGCAATAGTTTTTATATTTAGAGCATAATATTTATGCTTTGGTTTTTGATATAATATTTGTTATTTATAACATTTATTGATAAATTTTAACGTTTTTAGCAATAGTTTTTATATTTAGAGCATAATATTTATGCTTTGGTTTTTATATAATATTATATTTGTTATTTATAACATTTATTGATAAATTTTAACGTTTTAAATATTTTAATGTTTCAGCCTAACAAGGTGTTCGCCGCTAATGACCTTAGCTGTTGACGCGGCAGATAATTTTAAATAATCAATCAATCTTTCATTACACCGGGACTACATGAACCTGATTTACTACACGAGACTACAAAGGATTCCGGGATCTCCTACATCCAGATTGATCAGAAGGCCAAGGCAGCTGCCGCCCAGCCTTGTGATGCTCGTTTTCCTCTCCCACACACTGATTTGAA